ATAATATGTACATAAGAAGATCATTGGTTGTCCAGGCTTCCACCAATCGCATTCCAGTATTGCTTGCATCATTCTGCTTCCGTCTCGACTTCACTGTCTCGGATTGGCTGGCACATTCTGCCTATGGTGTGTAGTCGGAAGCAGTGACACGTACGCGCGTCATTGACGTCACCTTTCAAATTTAGTTGGTCGCATTTTTTCAAAAACTGCAACTCACCGCTCCAGACTAGGTGTTATCTTGTAGGCCCGGATCACCGCAAGATTGCACCAACCAATCAGTATGTGTTCTTCCAAAGTTCAAAGTTCTCGAATGGGCAGCGGATATCTGATTGATTCAGAATATTGGATTCTTACTGGTCAACGCGTTGCTCCTTGGCTGGCACCAATGCCACGTTCAATATTACAGGTGGGACATTTTCCGAAAAAAAGGGTTGTTCAAACACCGGTAGGCGAGTAATATAGAGATAATGATGATGCCAAGTAAAGTTAACTTCAGAATACGTGTGTGGGAGGGAGGGGAGACGATTGGGTCATCACGCACAAAAATAGCTTGGGAGAAGATATTCAAGAGTGAAACTTGATAAGATTGGTGCTTGTACTTAGGTGATAACAAAGACTGATCCGCAGAATCTGAATAAATACGTGACCAAACAAAAATCCCTAAATGGGTCACTTCAGGTACTAACTCCAATTAAGTTTGTAAACGGATTGATTGATGCGTCAAAATGGTCAACTATGATGAAACTGTTGTTCAGGATTGGTGTATGTATACTCTAATAGGTGTCTTTTGTAATGCCAGTTCGAGGAAGAGCTCTTAGGCAAAAAGTTTTGAATTCCATAATATTTTCAAATAACTGATAAATTTACTGTTTATTCCTTGGTTTATTACTCAGTTCATGCTTCACCATTTTATTTTACCGTTGCGCTTACCGAAACAACACACATCAAATATTGGCATCCCCTGCGGGGGAAGCTCCAGCCGACGAAATCAACGTTAATCAACGTAAATCGACCACCGAACGTTCAAACAAGTGAATTAATGACTGAGAGAAGTAAAGGTTTAGTATTAGATTTAGAGAGCATATATCCAGGTGAGTTAGTATTAGACCAACGGGCTAGGCTGGTGAACCAATCCGATAAATATGAAAAAACTGGGATGTCAATAGAGCAACCATCAGATTGAAGAAAGAAACAAATGGCATCATGTTCTCTGGATGTCGACGGAACCAAGTAGATGAGCCACTGGCGAGTGTTGATACAAAAGTAAATCAATTTAACGCCCTCATATTTGATTGAATATAACACTGATCAGGACTAGATCCAGGGATCTCACCCCTTTCATAAATTGACATGACTATTTATTAAAATCCATCTTATTATAAGTGAAAATAATTTTCTCTCCAATTCCCCAAATAGAGATGGATTGCGTTTCACAGGTAGTTGAGGAGAAATCCGAATCCAATAGTACGTTTAACAGGAAACTGCAATATCCATCTTATAGAAGCTTGTGCCTGTCCTATCCCTCACTCCCTGCCTTCCTCCCCGACCCCGCCTACCTCGATTCTGTCCAAAGCCCAAATCGCATAGTGTTCCAGATGATGTTCGAAACCGAATTTGACCAGACGAACTCGTTTCCGGACTACTATGATTAGCTTATTCCAGAATGCGAGAAGTTGATTGCCAGAATAACGATAGGGTTTTGAGGTCGGTTGACGATTGGGACCGACAGGAAGTTGACGCATTTCTGGACGAGTCATGGGACCGAAACCGGCAGTCCGAAAGTTGTTGCAAGCACCAACTGATGCACACACACACACACCACCATAGCGGGAACAGGTAGATGATACCGGTTTACGGGACTGAGCGTCAAAGCACACATCCGATCAGGATGCAACGACAGAGAACAGAGACAACCAAGGGATACTTTCAACCTGTTCCATAAACTAGTTCCCCACAGGCAAAAGCCGATCACACCGTTGTCGTTACACTGCTACGGTTGGTCTCTTTATTTTTGGTTACATATTGATGGTTACGTATGCTAACTATCTAGGTAGATGCGAAAGACTGAACGATCTTTCGGGGTTGGATATCAAATCGCCCAAAACCAATGAGCGAAACAGCGTCAGGGGCAGGTGGTTGCGATCGTACTGTCACCCCTACCGCTGCTGCCTGAGGTGGTGGTCGTGCTACGTGTGATTAGTAGCGATGGAAGTAGTTCTGAAATAGCAATTCATACCGGCAGAAGAACGTAACGTAATGGTGAACATACCATTTGTTTCTGTCTACACCCATCTGAATGCACTCGGATAGCGAAAGAGTGAGTGGGTCCGGAGGGGATAGAGGAGGAAGGGGAGGGTGCTCGATGGGATCAGAGACCGGACAGTCCAGGTCCAAAATGACCTTGACCGAAATACTAGACTTGACATAGAAAGTGTGTGTGTGTGTGTGTGTTAATGCGCACGTGCATGCATGAGTGTCATTATCCGCAAGCTAGTTAGATCATATCGGTTGAGTAGGGGCAAAAAACTACTCATTGATTTCTTTCAGTTACTTAGAGCTGAGCACGATCGCGGGTTTAGGCGCAGTCAGCTTAGATTGTTTGTCACATTTGTGTTGATACCACCTGCTTGAAGTCGAGACAACCCTATTGCAATATTGCAGCAATAAGAAAAAGAAAAGCAGTATTCTATAATCATTTGTAAAAATGACAATTTAGAATAAGTATTCCTGCGTAATTTTGACAGTGTAACCGCAAGTAAATAAAACAACAGTGTTGTTTTCAGCCTCTAGGTTTGATCAAAAACTGCGTTAACCACATAACCAGTCGAAAGATATTCATACAGTAGTATCTGTGCACCATGTATTTTTGTGAACCTACCGTCTTTAAAAATCTTATCCTCAGCCTTCATGATCTGTTTCAGCCGAAAATGATACGACTCAAATTATCTCAAATAATTGAATACAATATAAATATTTAGTTCAAATGTCGTCCGCGGTCCCCCAGGGAAAACTTACTGATGTCGGTAAGTTCAAATAACTCGTCTTGGGTAATCCGTTTTGGTTTCAAATTATCTTCATTCGGTCGTTTTTTCAATGAATGAGCGATTCTTCCCCGAAAATGGCACTTAATGAGTGGATTCGCGTAGGCGGAAAATTTCGTCCCACAATGTTTTTGATGGATATTTAAGGTTAAATAATCAATCGTCGATGCACAGATTCGCTAAAGAGCGGTGGTATCTCCGGTTCTTGATGAATCAGCAATGCCTTCTTCTTTCTATTGGACTGTTTTTTTTCGCAGTTCATACAGTTGCACCTAATGTAATCGTTTCATAAACAAAATAAAAAATAAGGACCTTTCGAGCCTTTCGGATACTAATTGGCGTTTTATTTAACTGAATTTCTTCGAGAAAATAGTAATATTTAAAAAAAAAACATCTATCGAAATAATAGGAAAATAACCTATAAACCAAGTTACTTTCGTTTTTAGGATAGACCCGGCAACTGGCCAGACAGTAACTCATCGATAAGGTTCCATCCAAAAGGCACCTACACACACACGCGCCAGAACATAAATTAGACGAATGGATTTTTCGCGAGACGTTCAAGGTCACAACGTGCCTGGTTGATCTGGATCTCAATGTTCATAAACTTCTTTTTTTATCATTTTTTCTACAACCCGAAGTTCTTCACCCACACAAACACCTCCACGAAATTCCACGGGATATAACACCCCCCCCCTTGTCTAACAGGTTGCCATCAATCCGGCAATCGTGGATGCTTTCACGCTTAGTAATGTCAATGATAATACGATTTTTTCTTCCCGATGGGCCATCGCGTCCGTCCACGCAATCCGGACGAAAATGAAGCATTTTAAGGCAAACTGTTTGGCCAGGGACAAACAACACAGAAAAAAACATTATTACAGTTTGTAAACTTTAATCATAAAGAAAAAAAGGCGGGGCGAGCGAGGGCCGGGGCGAGGCGGTAAATACCTGCTCAATTTAAAATAGATGTGAAACACGAGTAAGTCATGGTGCTTCATAGGGGATCGAAATCTATACACAATTATAAGTCGGTTGTCAAGTCAGTCCGAGAGAACGGTGTGTCAGATTTGAACAAAATAGATTCACTCGAAAAATGCTTTGTTCAGTTGCAAAGGATTGCATGCATTACGCAAATGATTCATTCACAATTCGCCTTATTGTCATAAGCGTTAGCATGAAACACACTGATCCGTCGGCGTATATCATATTCAACAAATGTCAACTTCAAAAAGGATATAAAGTAAAAGCTCGGCGATGGAGGATGAAATTAGAACGCTCAACCCGCAAATCGAAAGGATATTGATCTATATCGTATGACTACCTAGTATCAGTTGCCTCGTTGCATTGCATCGTGATTAGAAATGAACTATTCGCATGATCAATCTGAATGAGGATTACCATTTTATTAGAATCGATAGCCATGGAGATGAAAGTAGCGGAGGATTTAATTGGATTATATGGGAAATTTCCTGATGTATACAGTAATAAATGGATTGCGAACTGAAAACCTAGGGAGCACTGGACAGCTGTTTTTACTTGGGTCACGGCAAGTAGTTGTGTTCGGAAAGTATTGTAATAATCGAATAGGAACCGGAATTGAACAGCGCGAACTTGAACTCGGACTGAAAACCCACTGAATTACGCAACGCAAGGTAAAACCAAAACGAGCTGTGGATACAGATGAATCTATTGAGAAAAGCACGCAAATGTATATCACATGCGACCAACAGTTATTGGTCGGTTCCTGGACATCCAATCGGCGACAGTGTGGTTTATTATTATACCTTCATGTATTCGGCCAATCTGGTTGATGCCAATCGGGACCACAGGATTGGTCGGTTATTCTATTCTTGATTGGTTAGCCGGAAGCTGTACCGCGGTGCGTGAGTATTCGTTGCACGATCACCACAAGTATCCAACCGAATCATAACCCCAGGGACGAGTGCTGAGGTGAGCGAAGTGAGTGAGATGACTGCAACAAGGTCACAAAGATGGGTTGTGCTATATCGTGCGTAGGCAAAATGAAAACGGCCTGACTGGTTGCCAGGTAGTCAATCGGGCGGTGAACATACATTCTACCTCTGAAGTCCCGGGTTCGGTCCTAAATTGGGTCGAGGGATTCGCACTGCTGCTGAAACCCAACCAGTCTGAAACAACTAAGGAGATAATAATGAGAGTACTTTTGCTTAATTTTAATTTATTGACTGTATACGGTTCAATTCAATTTTCCGGCTACCTAGGGACATGCATAAGTGGGCAACATGCGCGGCAGGAGCGGGATTCGGATAACTCAGCCTTGATGGTCCATTCTGCTGAACTACTGTCACCCATGGGTTACATTTTCCCTCATGGGTGACCCAACGATCACATGATTTCCGGATGAGTTTACACCAATCATTTTGATAACCACGTGTAACAGGAATCAATCCAACAAATTGTGTCATCATACCATCCGGTGTACTGATTCCATGTGGATTTTTTCCTCAGGACCTAAAATTTCTTAAAAATATCTCATATTTTATTTGTCTTGACCGAATAGCTTAGTAGCAAGCAACGAGAAATAAACTGGACAAAGATTATAAGCTTGCGTGACTTGAAAATGACATGAAAATTAACTGGCTAATGAAATAAGTTTGATCATTCCAGATTGCAATCGGTCAAGTCCTACTACAACCAGCTCACCGATCAGAACGCCCTGGAAATACGCTACTGGGAAATCTCAGCGTAAAATGCTCTGGAGTTGCCTTTATCAGATCGTGTTGTACCAACCCATTTCTTCTTACTCTGATCTAAGCTCCTTCACCGGCAATCTTGATCAAATTCAGTCTTTCGCCTCCTCATCGTTGATAACCTTAAATCCCAGTGCATCTGTTGAGTGTTCATATAGTTTTGCTCACTCCCCATATCCGACAGACAGTGATTAATAACAATCCTTTATCCAGGGTAAACTCTGTTAAATATCTTGATGTAACCATAGATAGCAATCTCCATTGGTCAATTCACATCCACAACTGCATTGGTGAACTGCGGCGCCTAGCATTTCAAATAAGAAAGGTCAGGTAGTTTCGCTCATCCCAGTCAGTTATTTCTACCTTTGTTTATCAGTGTGTTTTCCCCATCTTACTCTACTATTCCACAGTTATTATTCCTGACTTACTCAAAAGGACTTTAGTCTTACGCCGCGGTCTAACCACACTTATTAGTCGTGTCTCTTGGATTCCTTTGAACGAGTTAGCTTCAGAGCTTTCAGAGTATCACGTAACTTCCTTTGTTAAATTTGCTGAGAGGATTCTCACAGATCCTGACCACCCATTGCACGCAGAACTGACACGTTGTCGTTTTCATCATTCAACGCACTCCCGATTCCGTCAAATTTCATCTCGAATTAACGCTCACCGCAATTCACCCATACCGTATCTTGCTCATTTACTCATAAACAAAGAGCGGACAATAACCGAACTTTATCTTAACCTTGGATTATGAAATTTCCCCATGTCTTTAGAAACTTTTCTCCCCGTTGATTATGTACATTGTGACGGCTAATGTATATGATTTTCTGACTGAAACGTGAGCTCCAGTGCTTGCAAAAGTTAAACACAACATAATACAATACAATACAAAAATGCAATCTTGCGCTAGACGGAGATTTATAACTAATCACCTAGCTAGTGACTATCTGGTCACCAGTCCTTTAAGAAAGACTCCCTTATAGC